AATGGGCATCTGAAATGAACAGACAATTCTCAGACAAAATTTTTATTTAATTGAAGGAATAACATTTTGAAAAATTAGAATTATAAGATTAAAGACACACTTAAAAGCATATTTCCCTGGGGATTTAGCTCAGTGGTTCCACCACCTGCCTTGCAAGCTCAAGGACCTGAGTTCGATCCCCTGTACCAAAAAAAAAAAAAAGGACATTTCAAGGAGGTAAAGTATCAGAATATAGAACACAGTAGTCAAGTGCTACATTATTTTCTCTTAATTTGCAATACTACTAAAAACTGCAATAATCATGAAGCATTTAACAATGAAAACATAAGTAGAATTTCAACATGAAAATAAGTATGTGGCTAATTAAACAAATACTATACTCTTGTATGAAAGTGTATTCTACTGTGTAGAGTCATCACATAATACATTAAGATTAACTGTTAAAACTTGGGCCTCTCAGTGCCCTAAGGGAATTTCTTAACTACACTAGTCATGCTTCTATCAAATTTATGACCTTAGAGATTGAAACATTGGCTGACATATTGCTATTTTACTATGAGAATAATTGAGTAGCATAATATTAAGAGATACCAACCTCCATTTTTACATTAAATTAAAAGAAATGAAGCAAGACATTATTAAACATGATTCTGAATGGAGGGTAGGGACAATGAGAAAAAAAGAACCAAGACCTGTCATGTAAAGGTACAAGATCTCAATAATGAATGTAACTGTACTGTATACCTAAAATGTATCAATAAACTCAATAAAAAGAAAAAAAATCATGATTCTGATATGTCAAGGTCCTACAAGTATTAAAAAGACTTTAAAAGCAAAGAATTTAGTAGATACTAGCAATTTAATGAATTTGTACTTTTATTAATAGTCAGGGAGTTCAGGAGCTAGAAGTAAACATAAACTAATAATCTAAACCACAGAAAGGTATAGGCTACCACACTTGGGAATCTATAATATAAAATTTTTATTAATAGTCAGGGAGTTCAGGAGCTAGAAGTAAACAATAAACTAATAATCTAAACCACAGAAAGGTATAGGCTACCACACTTGGGAATCTATAATATAAAGCAAGCCTCAATCAATAGATTGGAATCTAATCATCTATTTTCATGAACAATAGAATTTAAATTAATTTATATTTATTGATTACATATATTTTTCAAATTATCATAATTTTTATTTGACATTTTAAAAAATCAATAATAAATGTGAATTCTGCCTCAAACACAGAAAAACTTTTGAAGTTCTGGCTCCTCTGAAAAAGCAATGAGAAATAGTAAAATAGTAGAATTACTGTTATAGATTTCTGGAAATTAAATGATTCAAGCAACTATAGAGCATTTATTTAAAAAGAAACAAAATAACTTCCACAAGAAAAAAATATTGTAACATTTTAACTTCTCTTATTATTTTCTCCAGAGTTCTACTGTTGCTTAAAAATATGCATACTAGAAAGTTTGATAGTTCTGAAATTAAAATCCAGCACTTAAATCTCTCTAAATGATGTAGACTGTACTTCTGCTCTTGAGAAAGCCTTATTGTGAAAAAGCCATAATTATTTGACCTGTTGAAAGATTTCCTGGAAAAGTCCCTTAGGAGGACCAATCATTGCTTGACCTGGCATACACTTTTCTCATTGGAAAAAGCCCTAATACAAGGTAGTTAATGAAAATAACCAACAGTATTTTTTTTTTAAGTTTACACTACCTCTGTTGGCAACACTAGTTTTGGCAAGTAGAAAAATAAAACACAAGTTATAAAGATCCAAGAAATAAGATGTTCATGAAGAACTTCTTGAAAACATCCAATGTATTGCCAAATCCTAGAAGAACTTTTGACTATATTAGACATGAACAGAAAGAATGGCCTAATTCTCAATTATTAGATGTTACCCTTTGTAATACTCTGTGCTTACATAGTGTGTAAACTACCAGAGCATTGAAGCAGTGCAACAAAACACATAACGCTCCATGAGAAAGTCAGACGTCTCTCTTGTAAGTTATTTTACAGAAAGGCTTTTCAAATCTTCAGATGAACACTAAGTTAAAAAGCAGAGGCTTCTGTGGCTTCAAGAAAAAACACAGGCAATATAAAATTGCTCCAGGAAAATCGCTAACAAAAATTGCTAGAATTATCTATTATAAATACATTCAAAGGATGTATGCAAGTCATGCTTATAGCATCAACATGTCTTAGTAAATAGAGAAATTGATGAAGATATAAAAAAAATATTGAAAATCAAATGAAACTCCTCTTCACCTGCAAAGGGCCAAAGTGAGATTTTAAAAATCCATAGATAAATTGAACAATAGATTTGTCGGTTAAGGATAAGAGAATTTGAAGAGTTTCATACATCAATAGAGCTACTAAGATTATGCAGGATAAAAAACAATAAACAAATGAAGAAAAATTAATGGAGTCTCTGAAATTTGTGTAACATCATTGAGTGTACCATCTTACACATATTGGAAATATTGGAGAGCAAAAAAAGAAAGGAATAGAAAGAATATTTGAAGAAATGATGACTGAAAACTTCTCAAATTCAATAAAAACATTAACCTACACATTTGATGACCTCCCCATAGGATAAATGAAAATACACTTCTTTAAACATTATGGATAAACTGCTAAAATCAAGAAACAGAATCTTGAAATCCAGAGAAAACAAAGGATCAATAATACAAGAAAGAGCTGATCACTCATAGTAAACCATGAAGGTCAGCAAACAATAGAATTTTTCATATATTTTTGGTCTATTTGTAACATTCAACACTATTTTCATTCTCAACAAGAGTGAGTTGCATGTTTCTGTTGTTGTTTTATTTTTTAGGGACACATGGGAAAGTCATACATTTTCAAACACTCTCCAGTCTTTTTCATATCAGGTGGAATTAAAACGTATTGACACAGAAAGTATTCAATATCTGCATGAGAATTAATCTGGTTGCATAAAGAATGACAGGGTGAATGGAGGATTTTTAGTGTGAGCTCAGGCTAAAGGAAACGGGCTAGCTTACAATAACACATCGAAAATGCCCCTGAGGTGGATTGCTGAAAATAAAGCTCTTAAAACAATCATTATGGCGTTACTAAAAACATGTTTGAAGGTGGGGAGGGGAGAAGGGGGTGAAGGGAGGGCAGGGACAAGGGGAAAAAATGAGAAGCAAGACCTGGCATGTAAAGGTACAAGATCCCAGTAATGAATGTAACTGTACTGTCTACCTAGAATAAATTCAATTTAAATTTTAAAAAAACATGTTTGATGGAAGCATTTTAGGGAATCAGTTTTCGCTCTTTTTTCAAACAAAGCACTATTTGCCATTAGAGATTGACTATAAAATACTGAAGATTTAACTATTGAGACAGCAGAGATGTGTCTTCCGCATTGCATGGAGCTATGCATATATATTACTCCTAGTTTGTATCTGGAGAAAATATTCATAGGAAGAATTATTTTATTTAAATAATTCTGATACCTAATAGATGCTACAATAAGCCAAATTGATTTAATATTACTGCTGATAAATCAAATTGATTATATATTATTTTCCACTGCCACATACTATAAATTTGACTAGAGTACAAATCAATTGTACTTTGCATATTTTATTATGAATATGTAATGAATTACCAATGTTCATCAATTATTTTATATAATTTATTAGCCATTAGTTGTCCTCACTGTAATAAGCTCCACATATTAACTGCATTAAGTATATCAGTGTATTAGTCCTTTCTCAATCTTCTTGAAATTAAAGCATGTTTATAGATCTACTGTTGATTTTTCTTAAAAACACTTAAATCATCTTTTAAAGGCTATCCTGAGATTTGATAGTTACTCTGATATTTGTGGTTTGAGAGACTTTTTTTTCTATTTTCACTGAAATATACAAAATGTGCTTATGCATCTAAATGGGAAACATAGTTCTAAGAACCCATACAAATTGATGGACACTAATTTTTATTTTATTTTATAAAAATGTCATAAATATAATTAAACAAGCAACTACAACAAGTATAATTAATGCATGAATTATTCTTGTAAGCCATTTAATTTCTAAGCTCCTAGTGTCATAACATGTTGCATTTAATATTTGATATTCTATTTCCCATGGCAAATAATAACTCATTCTGTAGAACAGTGAGGATTTTAAAAATTATTCTAATGTCTGTTTAGCACTTGAAATGTGTGTAAAAAGATAAAAGTACATGTTAAGATACTTCCAAGACTCTTTTAATTTGTACATTAGCTAGAATAAAACTCAACCTACAGAATAAATTGCCATGCAGTATCTACAACCCTGAAATAGCTTTCAAAAGTGATAAGTATACTTAGTCCTTCTGTCTCCTCTGCATCATCTTCTGAAGTAAATCTTCATAGGATATCTATGTACAGATGTGGTTTTTCTATAAAGTGGAATACTACTCAGCCATACAGAATGAGAAATTAGAGGCATTCATAGGAAAATGGATGAATATTGAGGCCATACTCTTAAGTGAAATAAATAAGCCACACGTGTAAATACCGAATAGCTTCTCTGGTGTGAAAAACTATAATGGTACATAAAATCCTACTGGTTTAATTGACAATGTGAAATAGGAAGAAAAGGGCAAAGGTGTAGGGGAAGTGGGAAGGGTAGGAGAAAGGAAATAAGGGAAAGGAAAAAAATGAGAAAATGAAAAAATGGAAATAAAGTATCTGAATATAGGGAAGGGTGGAGGGGATGAATGGAGGGCAGGGGTAAGGAGAAAAAATGAGAACCAAGACCTGTCATGTAAAGGTACAAAATCCCAGTGATGAATGTATCTGCATATATACCTAAAATGTACCAATAAACCCAATGAGAAAAAATGAATTTTTGAAATCTTAGCAAAAAAGAAATTAGCATTCACACATTAGATAGCATAGATGCTAGATAATTATATTTGAAAATGCCTAGCCATTTTGACTTTTGTCTCACCTATTTCTTCTTTCCTTTCAGGAGTTGGAATTTTCAAATTTATTTGCTGTTCTTCACTGCATTCATTCATTCTTCGCTGCCAAAGTGGCCTGCTTGGACCCTTTATTCTTAGGCAATCAGGCTACTGCTTCTGTTGCGGCCAGCTCTGCTACCACAAGCAAAACCAAGTATACAACTTGATACCCTGAGTTCTGTAGTGACACTTACCATAGTTAGATAAACGGAATAAATATATTAGATCTCTTACACCCTGGAGAAGCCACAATAATAAGTCACCAGTGGAGTCATATGGATATTTCAGCAGACAAAGATCACGCGGCATCTTATACTCATTTCCAATCCAGAAAGCATCTGTAAAATATTCTGAGTGGCTAGAAGAGCCTGTTCTAATCTGGTTGATTAGTACGTGTACACTGCTTTCACCAAACATGGATACAAAAGAATGAATGTGATGAGAAATTATGTAAATAATATAAAAATTGTAAGCTGCCTATAAATAAAAATGCCAATCAAATGGTTATTTCTGTATTTTAGATTATTTTGTATGACAAATACATATTTGGGCCAGAACATGAACTAATGCCCTATCATTGATTGTATCATGAGTATAAAGAGACAAGAAAGAAAAAAGTGACAGCAAGGAGCATGCAAAAAATCTCATCGAAAAGGAAGCGCTTTAATTTGCAGATGTAAATTTTTCCTTGTATTCTCATTCCACTGTTCTACACTGGCTTATCTGATTGTAAAATATTTTTAGCAACTGCATAAAAATAATCATTCTAGCCTATGACAGACACAAGGCAAACTGGACTACTTTTTCTTTGGTTCATTGTTATTGAAATGTTTTCTTAAATGCCAGTGTTACTTATGAATGATGGAAGCATTTGTGAATCTCTTGTTCCTTCATTTTAAACAGAATTGTATTTTGTCTAATGAAATTTATTATCAAGTTAAAGTTTCATAGATTATAGTGACCCTAAAAAACTTTTATAGAGAAAATAACATCAACAAATTTCACTATAAGAAACAGATTTTGTAACCCTATCTCTACTAACTAATCATGAACTGAGATTCCCCTACAAAGTAATCTCAAAGCTATACTGATGTTAGCAAAATAACGGTTTTCCATTTGAGTGATATTTACTTAGAAGATATGGTAAGATTTGAAAATAAAAGTGAAAAGCTATATCTTACCATATTATGAAAAGTGATTAAGTAATGCTGATCTAGGTATTTTATTTTAGAATTGTAAATGTGGAGTGACTACAAACTTGAAAGTCTTAAAGATATGCACATACAACCAGGAGACAAGGAATTACATAATTTTTATATGAATTGGATAAAATTCTTCAACACTAAAGCCTGATTGATATCTGCTTTTAAAAACTAGGCAATTATTAAAACATAAATATTAACTTTTTAAAGTTGACAATTATATTTCCAACTAAACCAAACACTACATATTTTCTTGTGAAGATGAGAAATGTCTAAGAAAAGTCCAATTTTATTTTTTAAATGAGAGAAAGTAATCATTCATGATGAAAATAAAATTACTCACTTAAAGGATAATTATCCATTAAAATTTTAAAAATCTGTCAGAATTTTTTCATAACCACTATAAATTATTAATATATTTTGCATTATATTGCTTCTTAAAAGCATTGAATGAAAATAAAAACTGGAAGTTTGTGATTGGACCTGGGAAACTGTTAAGTTGGATTTAAGATACTTATCAAAAACTCTTTGTCAAATGGGTTAATAAAGAGTTTTAAAATAATTTACTGATTATAAAACTAAATTCACACCTAGGAAAGCACCTTGGATTTATTGCTCACTATACTGGTCAACCAAAATAGAAAATCTGACTTTGTAGTTCTCTTGTGAATTTGTGTGGGAATAGGAGAACAGGGAAGGAAACTTAGACACCTAACCCAGGCTTCTAAGCAGTATAGGTGATTGGATGTAGAACCCCTGATACCAAGAAGAGTTGAATCTCAGTGCACCTCACTCTGGGATGCTGTATGGAGGTATGGAGGTCATAAGAAATGAGCTAGTTGTCTGAAACAAAATCAAAAATAAAAGTAATGTTAGGAACTTTACTTAAATGATAGAGCATTATTAAAAATTAATGTCAAATTTTATAAAAGTCCTATTTTAAAGTGCAAAATAAATTTAATTAAATCATTTTATATCATTGAAGCTTAATCTATGCTCACATATATGATGACAGCAAAGGTGTTCATTGGGACATTTATTAATATTTGCCTCCTGTCCAAAATGTACACGTATACACATATATGTGTATACATATACTAAAATGCTTATGATAAATTCTATTAAAATGTTTCATATACATGCACATAATACACTTATAATTACATTTGCAAATCATAGCTTGAATTAAAACTTGTGACAATACTATTATTATACGATTGATATTGCTGTTATAAAAACCAAAAGATCTAAATTGCTATTTAATGCCACCAATTCGGAAAATATTATTCTGATTTTCATCAGTCTAGCAATTAGTATTTAATGTTTACTTTATAGTGTGTTAAGTAACTATTGTATTTATTTTAATTTGGAGTACTTGAATGAGAAAATTCAGAAACTTAATCATAAATATCTTTCTCATGCAATTTAAGTTTAGATGCATGAGATTTATTCATCAAATCCTAATTTCTCCATTAAGCACATTTTAACAAGAGAATATTCAATTATGTGATCACCCCTTCAGTGCCTTGGTATAAATATGTGTGTGTGTGTGTGTGTGTGTGTGTGTGTATGTGTTTCATTTCAGGGTTCATTACAGTATACATACTGAAAATTTAAGAGGAGTATTGTAGGTATTCTCAATCAGTGAAGGGAGTTCAAAATTTTTGAAAACTTCTAATACAACGTCTTTTGCCTGATAAAGAATAAAAAGTCATTTAAACTGAAGTATAGTAAAGCCGGGGTATTTTGAATTTGTTACATTGTAACAAATATTTAATTCAAATTTACTATAATAGATAATATATGTGTAATGTATATTCCAACACTCACCATCCGACCTTAATTTTACTTTTTTTGGTTTTTTGTTTTGTTTTTGTTTTTTGCTTTTGGTACCGAGGATCGAACTCAGGACCTTGTGCTTGCGAGGCGGGTGGAAAAACCACTGAGCTATATCTCCAGCCCTCTACCCTGTTTTTAAAGGAAGAATAATCAACTAGTCATTGCTTGGCCATATTTCAAGAATGTATCAACTTATTGTTTTAAAACCTTCACTCATAAAATTGTCATTCAGCAAGGAGAACAGCAATTACTTGAAAACAAATGGCAGCTCCATGTTACAAGCGGAGAAAGTATTTTTTATGCAAGCAGAGAAATCTTCCTTTGGGTGCATTAGTTTATAGAGTTACATTTTCCTCATTTACAGTGACAAAACTTTGTCTATGTTGAATGCTGGGTTTAATAGAACATCGATTTATTACTGGTGAAAGTAATAATCCTAACAATAATTTAGAATTACTGCTTGAAATTAGCAGTGTGGAGAAGCTTTAAAAGCACAAGGGAAGTCTTGTGCTTAACACTTAAAGGTAAGTGTAAATTTTCCAATATTGATAACGAGCATTTTGCTACAATTAATACTGCTGTATTCATGAGCTCTCCTTAAGGAATTGCTTTATTCATACCTCTAAAATTATTTATGATTTATTATTGTTAGTTAATACCTTAAAGTCATAATATCACTTCTTTGCACATTATAATTTAGTTTTTAAGATAAATAAAATATAAATGTTATATATTTTATACATATTAAAATGAAATTAAAATACAAGAAACATGAAATGTAAATATATTTATTTCATTTTTAATTGTTTTGGTGGATGTTTGTAAAATGTAAATTAATATCTGTGACAAATATTTGTCACTTCATTCCTTCAGTTCATTAATGTACTACTAATATAAATGTACCTTTTTTAATGGAGCATACTGGAAAATAAAAGCAAATTCTTTTTATGAATTTTCTGTAACCTTTTTTAATGGAGCATACTGGAAAATAAAAGCAAATTCTTTTTATGAATTTTCTGTTTTTATTTCTTTGAATTTGATTTCTAAACCATATATATGTTTAAAGCATGATCTTGAGATATTTAAATACAGTGAAAAGGAGAGATGTGACCTGTCTACCATAGAGTGTGGACCTTTTGGAATGTAATCTGTTATGGTTAATCAAAATTTATGATGGTTTAATTTCTGATCTTTAAAAGGTGCCAAACATTATAGAAAGATGCTATTTGCCAAATTGCTGAAACAGCCTAAGAGTCACAACTTTTACAAGCACGGCAACTTTGATGTGTTTATAATGGTCCATTAGGAACTGATTCTATATTGAGGGGATTGGCAGGGAGGACGTCATTATCTTGTCATGAGTAATTGAGAAATAGTTCAGCACTCTATGTCGTACAATGCCACAATTGTCTTTCAGATAATTGTGGTGTCACAAAAGTGAGTGCTGATAAATAATTATAGAACAATTCTAATATTTATGTTATTCTTGTTGCTAAATGAAAAGTTTTACTTTAGCTCAGTTTTATTTCAGTTTTTTTCTCATTGAGTTTATTGGTACATTTCAGGTATACAGTATAGTTACATTCATTATTGGGATCTTGGACCTTTACATGAGAGGTCTTTGTTCTCATTTTGGTTTGGAAAAAAATTCCATTGAATAAAAAAGTAAACATCTGTCATTGGTAATTTAAATACTTTCAAAGAATACAGAGAAAAAATAAAGAGATATTTTAAATTTCACCACCAACTAGTTGAATACAACTCATTTTAAACAAATATTATCTTGCACATTTATTTTTACATAGATACAAGTGGGTGGATTTAAATGCTTTTATAAAAGTGCTTGAGTTGAGAAGCATCTCAGTAGTAGAAAGAGTTTCTAGCATTTACAGGCCCTGGGTCTGATCTCCAGTACTACAAAAATAAGAATAAGTAAAAATAAAGCCCTCCAATAGAAATACACATAAAATAAATATATTTTATGGAAGTATACTGACAGATTTAGTGAAATGCAGGTATCACTTAAATTGAGTGACAAGTATGAAAGAATTGATCCACAGAACATATACCATTTGAAAGATAATTGCATATTAACAAAACGCAGAATTGTCCATATATTTTTAAAAAGGTCATGGGTTATGTTCTCAAGTTTGTTTTATTATTTTTAGTTAAATGTTGGATACAGAAGAACGCATTCCTTTCAGAATATACTTATGCAAATTTTGATAAATGGAAATAATTTTATGCCACTACCAAGTTTAAGGTACTACAATTTAATTACACCAATACATAACCCAGTGACTCGCTGTAGCCAACACTGTCCCTTACGTCAACCCTTGCCAACAACTGATCTGATTTTTGTCTCACTGGCTTCCTCTTTGCAGATTTAAATGGTGAGATACATCAATTTTGGAGGTTGGCTTCTTTCATTTACTGGAAGGCCTTTAAGATCCACTCATTCTCTGGGCTTCAGTAGTTTGTCCCATTTTGACTATGTGTAGTATGGCCATGGTCTCCCCGGCTGAAAGATGCTTAGTGGCTTCCAGTTTTGGATGACTGCAATAATGTCACCATTAACATTAACATATAGGCTCTTTTGTGAACATAAATTTTCATTTTGAACAACTAAATTCCTAGGAATGCAAGTGCTGTGTTTTATCACAGATGTTTCAAGATAAATTCATATGATGGAAACACAATAAAAACTTTGCTAAAGTAGCTGTACCATTTTATTTTCTCACAACACTCTTGCAACAAAGTGTGAGAGTATGAGTCACCTCAGATCTCAGTCACCACTTGGTATTGCCATTGTTCTTGACAATTAA